ATCAATCAATCAATCAATCAATCAATAAAAAAAAAAAACAAAGGCTAGGAAAACGGGGTTCACACAGACAAAAGGAGGGAGAAGAACCTACCTACCCTGCATACGCACAGCCAGCGTAAAGGCACAGAGAGGCCATTGTGACCCCCAAACAGAAGAAGACATCAAACTGGAAAGCTAAGGACATGCAAAAGTGAAATATCTGTAAATAAAAATTACAGAAAAGTAGAAAAAGTAGAAAACGTACAAAAAAAGAAGAGAAAAAGGACTCCCATTTTGCCATTCTACAAACCGGGAGATCAAAAAAAAATAAAAAAAAATAAATAAATAGCGAACCAAAAAAAAAAAAAATCAGGCGATGATTCACTTCGTCAGCAACTTGCCGCAGGTGATGCCGCGGGAGGAAACGACCCGATTCATTGGATTAAAAAAAGGAGGCGTCCTTACCTGGCCGGGAGGAAACGACCCGATTCATTGGATTTAAAAAAGCGCCTTGAACTTGTGCCAGCCCGAAGATTTTTTTAAGAAGATGATGCCGAAAAGTCGGAAAAAGGGGAACCAAAAAAGAGAAAATTCTCTGTCCATCCCTCATACCTGAGGACTTCACAATCCTCTCTCTCTCTCTCTCTCTCTCTCTCTCTCTCTCTCTCTCTCTCTCTCTCTCTCTCTCTCTCTCTCTCTCTCCGTGCGCCAATCTACATTTGACCACCTTCCCTCTCCTCGTGTTTCCTTGTTCAACAACATCCTCCAACACTCATTCCTCTCTCTCTCTCTCTCTCTCTCTCTCTCTTGTGTGTGTAGGTCATATGCTTGTTACATTGCTGAATGTTCGCCAAGCTACCCGATATACGTACGACTAATACAAATGAACGTAATCTCAACCCCTACCACCGCTCCCGTCATCGTCAACACTATGCCCTTCCACCCTTTCCTCCCCCCTCCCCCCTTTCTCCCAGCTCCTCCCCCCATCCAGCCTAACACATTAGCCCTGACTAGGACAAGCAAAAGACGAGATCAATCCCCTCCGACTCCCAATTTGGGTAAGTTATAACACTCATCTCATATCCCGAACGAGTTATGCACCCCATCCACCACTCCCCCCTCCGTCCCATGCAGAGAAAGAGAGAGAGAGAGAGAGAGCTAATCCGACTAATTAGGCGCTGACTCAGCATCAGTCAAGGAGAGTCATTCACCCAATCCTCCCTCCCTGCACGAACCACCATACAATCAAACTTTCATGAAACCCTCATCAAACTTTCATCGATGCCATGTGTTTCCCTCCTTCTGAATGACCCCCCGTCTAGCGGCTGGTTCTACATACACGCTCATCTCCCAACTTCACCTTCCCCCCTCCCCTCTCCTCCTCACTGCTCCTTTGCCTTGTCCCAGACTCAGCTTCCACATTTTCCCCCCGTTCGCCATCCGTCACTGCAGAACACTCACCATACGCTCCTCTCTCTCTCTCT